CACGCCGCGAGGTGCAGGGGCGACTCGCACGACGCGTAGTAGGACGTGACCTAGGGCGCGGCGGCGCGCGGGTCGACTTCAGGCGGGATCACCCGTCGCGACGACCCGTCGCGGCGGCGTCGCGCGGCGCTCGCGCGTCCGGGCCGCCGTCGCCCCCCCCCCTCCCCGTCGGGACGCGGCCGCGCGCGGGCTCCGCGCAGTGGAACTCGCGGTAGGCGCCCGCCGCGCCGTGGGCTTCGAGCAGGGCCGACACCTCGGCCTCCGTCGCGCCGGCGACGCCGTCGTAGAGGCGCTTCGTATCCTCGGCGAAGGGGTTCACGTAGCCGAGCACGTCTGTGACGGAGGCCGCGGCGCCGGCGGCGAGCACCGCGACGATGATGAGGGCGGGCGTCGAGCCGCGAGCCATCGGGGCGCCTCCACGGCAGGCTGTCCCACACCCAAACCTCTCGGACGATTAGCCTCAATATGGCCTTCGCGCCGCGCCACAGGCCGTATGAGGCCGCCTGTGACCCCCGCGCCGCTTCCGTCCGCGTCTACTAGTCCCTGCGCGGTCGCGTGCCACTTTTGAGCGCTGGAAACGGCGTGCGCGCGACGACGCACACGGCCTCGGAAACCGCCTGCGGGAGCGGTCGAGCAGCGGGCGGCGCTGGACGCGTCCGGAGGTCGCCGCGGGTCCGTAAACCGTCGCGGCGGTCCGTCCATGTTGCGCATAGATGCGGCGCGCGCTCGACTGCGTCGGCCGAGGCCGTGGTCGTGGTGCGGCGCGCGGCCGAAGACGGGTCCCGACGACACGTTCGAGGCGCGGACCGCGGCTAGATCTGCGCGAGTTCCCGTCGACGAAGTGGCTCGTGCAGCTCGTCTATCACTATGGGTGAGCCGTGGCCCAACAGATCACGTCAAATACGCCACATCGCCGTTCATGACCCCAGAACCCGTTTCGGCGGCGGTTTCGGGCGCCGCTCTGCGGCGGCCGGCGCGCGGGGGCCGCGGTCCGTGCCCCCGGACTTGATCGATTTCGCGGCCAAACATCTCCACGAAGCGACGGGGAACGACTCCTCGCGGGCGCGGACGACCTGCGACGCTCGGCGGACGCGAACGTCGTGCTCGGCGCACACGCGCGCAACCGCTCGGCGACGGCTACGCGGCGCCCATGGGGGCGGCGGTGCGAAGATATGGGCTCCGAGCTCATCCTATCGATGGGCGAGGGCCGTGGAGCACTCATTAGCGCTGGACCCGACGTGCTTCTATGCGGCGTCGAAGTCGTACGTCGACGGAGACGGTCCTAAACCGACACGTTCGTGCGCGGTGCGCGGTCGCCGTTCGCGTCTGTACCCCCGGACTTTTTCGTTATCGACGCTCCAAGTACATGGCTTTGCGACGCCGCGGGCTTTCCGGCGGTGGCCCGGTCACCTGCGACGCACGCCCGGCCTCAAGAGAGCTCCTCTAGGTGCTCTACGGGTACGCGGGGCCCGAAAACGCGCTAAGATTTTAGTCTTCATCCGCCTCGTCGGCTTCGTGGCGCAGGTGGCACGTCCGCTGGTTGTGGCCCGTCCGGTGGCACATGCGGCACTCCTGCTCCTGGGTCTCAACCTCCATGAGCTCGCGCAGGAGCGGATGAGAGCGTAGCCAGAGGATGTGCAACGCGCCACGGATGCCCTCGCGATTGTTCTGGCTGAGGAGCTTGAGCACGTGGCGCAGGACCTTGTTCCCGGCCTCCAGGGACTCGGTAGAGAATGGCGCGATGGGCAGGGAGTTGAGCGTGTGCTCGATGTGCGTGTGGACGTAGAATGGTATCGAAATGTAGCCGCCTAGATGGGCAGGATTCGTGATCAAATCATGAAGTCTCCGGCGGTGGCGATCATAGCTTGACAGGGCGGTCGCGTCCGACGTAGCAGAGAGCCAAACAGTCCGCATGGCACGCCAGCAGCGGATGATCTCGAGGACCTTTTGGCGGCGCTCGACATTGGCGATGAGGCTCACGACGACACGTTCGTTCTCCTCGGCGACCAAGGCTCGGCCGTAGTTGCCAGCAATCATCATGGTCGAATGCTGACGGATTGACACTCGCAGATGGTCGTGAAATAGGCGCTTTGCAATAGAGTAGGCCTCTTTATGGCTCGCCGTGATCGACCACGTGTAAATTTGGGCGTTTTCGTGGATGACTATAGACTCTATCCAGCTGCCAGAACCGTTCACGTCGGTGTGTAAAGTGTCGGTCTTTGATCTGACCAGATCCAGTGCGGCCATAATGACGTCGGTCTTCATTCCCTGGGCAGCCATGCGTCGCTGCGCCATCGTACCGGGTTCGGGCCGCACTGCCAATTCCTGGGCCGCTGCATTCGACTCGATCGTTCGCTTGAAAGTGATTGATTCGCCCTGGCCGACGAGAGTAGGATCGCGCTGTTGGTCCTGGGTCATCGTGCAGTCCGTGCAGTTGTAATGCGCAGTCGTACCCATCTGTCCCGTGATGGATCGCTCAAGTTTTTTGTCGTACATGGTGGGGTAGACGTCGATCTCCGCGTGAAAGAGGACATGGCCGACGTCTAATTCAATGGTGCTGCCGTCGAGCTCGGCCCACTCGGCCTTGGTTGCCACGAGGGCCAAACCCGTCTCGGAGTCGTTGTTCTCATTGGCGTACACCAAGACCAAGGGGTGCGAGACCTGGTTCGAGCTGGGTTTCGGCTCGAGAAACAGAATTTTGTTCCCACAGATGTCGCAGCCGTCGCCGAGTGGGCCGCAGGCACAGTTGCTCGGGTCCCCTCGGCCGCCCGTGTTGCGCCGCCGCTTCCGAGTCGAGTTCGAAGTCGTCTCCGGCTCCGCGCAGTGGTAGATGGCCAAAACGCCAAAATCGCCGCGGATGACGTGTGTGCCCTTGGCAGCCGACTCCTCGCCCATGCCCAGACCGTCGAAGCCCTCCTTGATCCGCACGAGCAGCCTCGCCGACTTCCCAAAGAACGGCCGGAAGTCGTAGTCGCCGTCCTCTGAGCCCAGATTCCCGGCGTCGCCGTCGACGACGAGGTGATCCATGCAATAGCGGTGCAGATGTCGTTTCAGCAGTGCTGCTAGGACGCATTTGACAGCACCTCGGACTGGAAACCGTGCGCCGACCAGGCCCGGCGAGGGCTGGGGCACCATCGACGCGTAGCCGTCGAAGTCGACCGTGATAGAGATGCCGTCGTCGCAGCCCGGTAGAAATGTCTTCTGGAAGGAGATGTCGATGGAACCAGCCGGAGCCAACAGGGACTTGCCCGTGACCTGCTTCTCGAGCTTCCGCTGGCACTTGTACTTCTCCACGGAGAGGCCCTGCGTGATGCGGTAGGCCAGACTCTCCTCCTTGGACCAGAACGGCGTGGCGCCGCCGGTGACCATGGTCTCGACGCAATCGCCGATGCGCCACTGGCTGCGGTCGTTGCCCGCGCGCGCGACGTACTTGAGGAGCGACGCAGCGACGTCGATGCCCCGCAGGCCTTCGCGTTCCGCCACGACGCCGATCTCCTTGATGAGGTCGGGGCCGAGGCGCCGCCCGAGCCACTGCTGCGTGATCGTCGTCAGAGCCTTGCGGGGCTTCTTCAGCGGCGGCGCGCCCTCGGGTTCTGCCGCCGCCTGCTCCGGCGGGGCCGCGACGCTGCTCTGGGACCGCGCCCGCGCGTACTCGTCGACCTCGAAGGCGTAGCGGTCGTCGTGCGTCACGTCGACGGCGTTGATGAGGTGCATGACGCTGTCCTTGCTCGCGTGCCGCCCGAGGGCTCGCATCGTAAATCCGTGCGCCCGAAGCGCCTCCTCCCCCAACCGCACCACCTCCCACGCGAGGTCGAGGCCCTGCTCGTCGTCGCACCACCAGAGCTGCTTCTGGAGCACGTGGACGTCGACCCACACACCGTCGAATCGCCGCGGCGTCTGCGAGGTCTGCGACGTCTGCGAGGTGACAGAGTCGGTAGAGCCACTGCGGCGTGAGCGCGAAGCGCGCCGTCGCGCCTTGCAGAACGTGAGGAACTTCGTGAGCGCCGGCCAGACCGTCGGGTCCAGGTCCGGCACCTCCATCGCGCGCGCGCTCTGGCCCGACTCCGCGCGCCCGCGCTGGCTCCGAGAGCGGCGCCGAGCAAGGAGCCTGGAATCGCTGAAGCCGAGCTTGAGGTAAATTTGGGCGTCGCGCCCGTGGCGGTCGACGCGGCCACGCGTGAAGCCACGCAGCAAGCTTACGCGGGCTCGGGCGCGGGCTCGGGCGCAAACTCGAGGTCGCGCGGGCGCTTGAACAGCGAAACCTCGACGGTGGTGAGGTAGAACAAGTTGGAAGCGGAAACTGGGGGTGCGATGCGTCCAGCAGAGCCGGCATAGCCGCCGCAGATCGCGAAGGTGACCGTGCTCGAGGGCCTCGGCGCGGACATGGGGATGAGCACCGCGCAGGACCGGGGCGACGACGGCCCGTCCCAGGCGAGGGCCTGCAAGGACGCGCGTCCACCGTCGAGACGGAAGTGCTGGAGCGCGTTCGTCTCCGGAAGCTCGGAGACGGACGAGCTGCCGCCGAAGACGATGACGCCGTCGTCCCCGTCGTGCAACATCGCATGGCAGTACCGGAGGCCGACGCTGGGCCCGTCGAAGGCGAGCGTGCTCCAGACCTTGGCGTCGACGTCAAAGGCGTGGACCTCTTCGGCGCAGAGCGGGCCTTTCGGGCCGCACAGCCCGCCCCCGAGCAGGAGCGCGGACCCGACGGCGACGCAGGCGTGCAGGCCCCGCGGCCCGGGACCGGTCCCGGTGGCGCCGCCGACCGCAGACCACGCGCCGGGGCTCGTCCGCTCCCAGGGGTCCGCGTCGGCGTCTCTCGAAGAGAGGACGTAGAGCTTCGCGTCGTCCGCGACGACGGCCAGCGAGCCGGCCTGCGACGCAGTGAAGCCGCCGAAGAGGAACATCTCGCCCGACTCCGCGAAATACGTGAAGGAGCACCCGTACCGCGGCGACGGCGTGTCGTCCGAGGCCTTGTAGCTCCGGAACAAGTACTTCTTCGCCGTCGACGTGCCGGTCTTTTTGCGAAGAGAGACCGCAGATCGCAAGAGGCTCGTCACGCGGAAGTAGCGGTCGAGACCGCCGAAGAACAAGAACTCCTCCCCGCGCTTCGCGCCCGCGCAGAACGACGTCGCGTCCAACTCGTCGGACTCGGTCCAGAGCGGCGCGTCGCAGACGACCCCGGTCTTCGGCGCGACGCTCAGCACGCACGGCAGCCGCTTGTTCCTCGCCAACTCGCCGCCGTAGAACAGCGCGGTGCCGTCGCCTACCGGAACGATGGCGGAGGCGACCACGCCAAGGCGCTCGGTCGCGGCGTCCCTGGCCTCTGCGCCGCCTCCGGCAGGGATTGAAAGGTGTACGATCTCGGACCGCACCCGACTGCCGAAAACCGGCGCGACATGCGCCCAGCCCGTCACGAGCAGCGCGTCGCGGTTGCCCTTGGACGCGCGGGCGAGACGGCTCGCGTCTTTACGATCCATGAACCCGGCGCACGTGTCGAGATGCTTGACGAACTCGGGCAGCGGCGAAGATTCCGGTCGCGCGGGGCGGCGGCCTTGATGCCGCGTGCGGGATTTGGCCGTGCCCGCAGCCTGCCGGCGCCGCGACATCTGCCGCAGGCGCTGCGACGCTCCAGCAGGCCGTGCGAGGCCGCAAAGTCTTCGTTTCGAGCAGTTGGAACGGCTGCGCGCTCCTATGGGGTGCTAGCGCTGCTGACGGGACCGGTTTTACAGCGGGTGTCGCCGTCTAATACGTCGATAAGGTGGCCGCCATGCCCTAATCCGGCGTGTTGAGGTGCAAGGTTTGGGTGTGCGGGGAGCGTGCCGTCGATCTTGTTGTTTTGGAGCGACCTACGACGCCGAGGGGCGGTCGCGCGCCGCGCCGGGGGTTGGGGACGCGGCGGGAACTCGCAGGTACGTCAGCGCCGTGAGCTCGCCGATCTCGTGCGGGATCCCATCGCTCGGGCCGCCGTCGAACTCGTTGTACTCGAGGTGCCTGCGACGCCGAGGGTCGGTCGCGCGCCGCGCCGCGCGTCGGGGACGCGGGGGGAACTCGCAGCTCCGTCTCATCCAGGTCGATGCAATAGTCAAAGAACTTCCAGAACTGGTTGGTCCGGAGTTCGTGGTAGGGTTCTTCTTTATCGTCGCATACGGAGACTCCGTCGGAGAGTCGACGGAGCAGGTTCTTGGCGTCCTCGGACTCATCTTGCCCGGCGAAGGGCGCGTTGTCGAGGGCGCGAGAGGCCTGGCCAACAACGATCGCCGAGGAGTAGACCGTGAACTTCTTGATGCGGCGCAGCATGATGTCGAGGGCGGGGCGTACTGGACCTGCGCCGCGATCTCGGCGAAGCGGCTCGAGCCGGTCGACCGAGCGCGCGCGCGCGTCGCCTTTGGGGGCGCTCCCACGCGCGCGCACGCCACTGCAGATGTGTAAGCCGCGTCTTGGCGGGTACGCGAGGGCGTGCGCGCGCCAGGGGGCTTTTGCGGTCGAGTTTCGCGAGCTCGACGTTTCTTCGGCCCCTTCGCCGTTCTCAACGCCTTCGGGGTCCCCCTCTGAGGCGCGCGTCGGGCGATGCACTCTGTCGCGGGCGGGCGACGCGTGACAACCCCCCAAACGGCGCGAGAGCGCGCACAAAGCCCGCGCCGGCGCGCACGAGACGATGATGCCGTGTCTGAGTGCTGATTTCTGTGGAGAAACGTAGAAACGATCGCCAGCGGCAAATTCACGCCGCCGTCCACTGGCGCCTCCGGCGCCTGTGAGACCCCTCTGAGCCTCCCGTCCCCCGCGGTTCCTCCCGGGCCCCCTACGTTTAGAGACGCGTCAAGGCAAATCACGCCGTGGCGACGGCTCCCTGTCGCAAAACGCCGCGGAGCGGGGTCAGAGGACCGTACTTATCAGACGCGCGGCTCCGCGCCGCGCCTCGTCTGGTCGTCGTGCTCGTACTCGCCCCACTCGGCCGGGAGGATCCAGATGGGCCGGAAGAACATGAGGTCC